TCCGTTCGTCGATTGATCGCCGCCGTAAGGGCAGCTCCTTCCGGTCCTAGACCACCGAAGAAAGCCATTTTGAGGCACTGTGCTGCTCTTCTGTTAGGACACGCGAGCTGTTCAGCCGCTACGCTGCCGATATTCCCATTACAAGCCGGCCTCGGCACCTTTAATCCTCAACTAGGACCGATGTTGCTCGCTCTACTTTACGCAATCGCGACGATTACCAGTTGCTTCGCGCCAATCCTCGTACAGAGATTCGGGACGAACCTCGCCATAAGCTCTAGTCACGTGGCTACCACTATTTTCGTGGGATTGCATTTATATCCAAAGTGGTACATATAGTAGAAAAATCCTGCTAGATAGCATAGAAATGTAGTTTCGAAACACTGCGGATTTTTATGCATTTATTTATATTGGGAAATATATATCGATGGCGCAAGAGTACACAGAATACGCGTAACATGGAAAAATGATGTAAAATATCAAGATATATAATTAATATTTATCGTTTTTGGTAGATAAAACAGCTCTTTACGTAAATTCCATTTTTTAAAAATCATATTCATAAAAATATGAATTTGCATAAATATCCATGGTCCAGTCACGTCATAACATTGTAGGAAACGTTATTATTTTATATATTTTATTATAAGTAAGGTAGTGCAATAGAATAGAATAGAAGAGGTAGATCGAGGTAGATATATAAATAAATAAATAATATATATATTTTATTTGTTTGTTAATAGGTACATATTATTACCTAGTTACGCGATGCTCGGTGCTTGTATGAGTCCAAATTTCATAGCAAGAGTTTCACATGTAAATGCTTCAGCGACGAGTTTAGCTCTGGTGTGCGTCGATCCCGAGGATCCTGACGAAACAAGACGCGAGTGCCTTCTAAGAAGACTTAATCGAGGAATCAAATTAGCAGAAGACATAGGTCTCGCACTGGGTATGGATATTATCCAAATTAAATATATATTATACAAGACTTTTCTATACTAGTCGTGCAACTATATGGTGTATATTGAAACGCACCAACTTAAAGATACCATAGCATCGTGTATTTAGAATCTATGTAAGGTAATTAATTCGATACATCGTATCACTAACGGCGAATGTCCAAAATGAATAAATATTTTCTTTTCTTCTCATACGTATAAGACCAGCTAGATAATATCACGGAATATCTGTTTTACTGTACAATGACTGAAGGAATGTCTTCTTCGAATCGATTTTTAAGCAGATTTCAAGGTCGTCAGTACCTTTCTTTTAATGGAATTTTTTTATACACCAATCGATGAGCTTTTTTTAATCTCTATATAAAAGCGTTAAAGTACTTGTGTCCAAAAACATATTTACATAGTTTAAAAGATATTTCAACGATAATTTTATAAAATTTTGCATATGAAAAGCAAGGAAAAGTGGAATTTGTCTTCCAAATTATGTGCTCCTTGAAATAATTTAGCTTTCCCTGAAAAGTGTCTTCGTACAATAATAAATAAAATAAGACAGATATCCGGTTATTCCATTTAGCTGAGCTGCTGTACTACGATTAAATCTAAGTAAAATTTTATATTTTTAGGTTGTTTAATCGCTGCCATACTTGTAAAATTAACAGACTTGGTACCTCTTAATACAGTAAGCAGTGAGATAAATGACAAGTGTGGAGCAGAGTACTGTCCAGAAGAAATTTATCTATATAATAGCACAATTAATTTACCTACATTATCATCTGGTACATCACAAATATTGGTCAGCATATGGCTGGGTCTTGCTGTATTAGGATTAGGTATATCGTGCGCTTTTCTCGACTCTCGAATGAAGGAACCACAGAGTGTAAATGAAAAGCACAGCATTCAAAATATTCTGCAATCTGTGAAAGCTGCGTTCCTAGATCCTAAATTACAGTTAGCTGCACCATTGACGCTTTTCATCGGACTTGAACAGGGTTTCATCTATGCCGATTTTATAGAAGTGAGTATAATATATATATCTCAATTTTTTGTTTCAACTTCGTTTATAATATTGCTTGAAAATTATCACGGAACATTGTTACTTTATTATCGTTATTTATATAAAATATATTTATATATTACATTACGATACATGGTGAATATTTAATTATTTCTTAACAGGCATACGTAGTCTGCGCCCTGGGAGGAGCTAGCACAGTAACGATCAGTTTTTTAGCACTAGCTTCCTTGCAAGCTCTTGCTGATGTCACCCTATCGATGTTACTACGACATATTAAAAGATATTTCGTCGTAGGTGAGTAACATGTCATAATTAAATTGCAGATCTTTGTGCAAATTCATATTTCTGTGATTATGACTAGAACCAAAGATCGAATAATCGTAGAATAAGTGGAAAACGAAGCAGAGGTTCGTTTCGTAATAAAAAGATTACTTTGAAAATTGTATGTATCTTTGCGTATCATGTACGGTCTCCGCATTATTATGCATCTAAACTTCTGGCAAATGCGTAAAAATCCATCTTATCGTTATAGTAAACTGTATTCATGATATTTTGTTCAACAGTTGTAGGATTTGTATTCCATGCATGCTTACTGCTGGTCTTGATCACCTGGAGACCATCTGGCGATGACCCTGCACTTTTTCACGTTATATCTGCTGCCTGGGGAGTCTGCAACTCTATTTGGGAAACTCTAATATACAGTAAGTTTTTTATTACATAACGTAAGTATCGATATTATCTTATTCAATTTTTAGCTCTGGTAATGGGCTTATATCCAAACTCTTGGCAAGGACCTCTATCGACGTCCCTCTTCTGGAAATGGCTTGGTCTTGCACTTACTCTTGGTTTACACGGACTGGTCTGCACACGACTTAGAGTACTTGGTCTTTCCGTTGTGCTAATTCTCTCAGTGCTTCCTTACGCATGGTTAGAGATTAGACTGGCCAAAAGAGGGAAAAGTTTGGCACCATTGTGACTGGGAGATCCAACTACCAATGATCATGGATCAAATATCAAAACAGAGGCACGTTATAGAGATTGAGATAAGTTCGTTCCATTCGGCTTAAGAAGGACTAGAAGACACAACAGAAACAGAAATCCTTTCATAGAACAAGCTGCAACTATGACAAAATTGCGCACGCGACGAAGAGCAAACAGCGTTGTTTTTACTTGTAATACTAAACAAAGTGTAAACGCAAAAGATACTGAGCCTCAGCCTTCTTCTTCGACTGCAGATAATCATAGAGCGAGTATCACAAATGAGGAAAGCAGTGTTCTTCCTGTCTCTTAAGGCTAAACCTTTTGGAAGTTTGCAATATCTTTCATTTCAATTTTATAATCTGAGCTAAAGAAACGATCACAATTCTGAACTTTACAAATTTAACTATTTTCTTGTGTGTTTTTTTTTTCTTTAAGCGTTTTACAATTGGAACTCTGTAATATAACCATAAATTTTAACTATAATTTGCAATAGAGATGAATGTATGATGAGTTTTTATACATGCAGATATTCTTTTATACAGAACGTTTAAAATATATTATATGTTCCTACAAAGGATTATTATAGTTTTATATGTAATACAAAAATTAAGGAAAACACAAGAAAAATTAATAAGAATATATTCATCAAAAACGTAATCAAAAAACTTGAAAAAAGGGAAAATTTACACCTTACATTTTCCAATTTAAGTTAAAATCTGGGTACATTTCAATCGTTTCACAAGATGCATTAATAACGAATAATAATGAATCTGTGTACCTAGTTAAATTGTATTTCAAATACAATGTATCAAATACTGGGTAAATTAAAGTCTTTCTTCAAGCTGAATGGAACGAAGAGCATATTATGCATGAAATTTTTCATGCAGCAAAAGATATAAGTAAATAGATACTTTTGTGGACAATTTCTTAATCCGCCACGGTACGATCGATAAACCGGCATCGTACAAGACTGAGCGATAGCAGAATATAAATAATTAACGATCGAATATACTAATCATAGTAGTATCTTTCTGACAAATCATTATAACTGACGTTTAACCGTCGAAACGTACCTGATGTCTTTCAAAAAAACCAAATTAATTTTAATCTTGCGAAAATAGAGAAAAAGGAGATTGTAAACCACGTCTGCCCTGTGTCATAGAATCGAAATGAAAATCTAGCTATAAGATACTTGAACGTAAGTACAGCTATAACATAGTTCGATTCTAATTCTACTACAATTAATACCAAAGTTTATCATTCACACGAGAAAATAAATTAACATAAGAATTCGTTGTACAAATGAAACGTTTTTTTTTTTTTTTTTTTTAAAAAGGAATATTTTAATTTAGAAAAAAAAAAAAATAAACCGGCATCGTACAAGACTGAGCGATAGCAGAATATAAATAATTAACGATCGAATATACTAATCATAGTAGTATCTTTCTGACAAATCATTATAACTGACGTTTAACCGTCGAAACGTACCTGATGTCTTTCAAAAAAACCAAATTAATTTTAATCTTGCGAAAATAGAGAAAAAGGAGATTGTAAACCACGTCTGCCCTGTGTCATAGAATCGAAATGAAAATCTAGCTATAAGATACTTGAACGTAAGTACAGCTATAACATAGTTCGATTCTAATTCTACTACAATTAATACCAAAGTTTATCATTCACACGAGAAAATAAATTAACATAAGAATTCGTTGTACAAATGAAACGTTTTTTTTTTTTTTTTTATTAAAAAGGAATATCTTAATTTAGAAAAAAAGAAAAAATAATGCTTCAACGAAAAAGCCAATACTACTCTATTTATCAAGCTAAAGCATAAAGTATCACTGATTATGAACTTCAAAGGGAATCGAATAATCCTAAGTCAATAATTAATTAATTAATAACATTAAAAAGATAAATGTTAATGAAACCTTCTTCCAACATACAAAATTTCTCCTATTTTTCTGTATTATAAAAATGTTATTTGTTACTTCGCTAATTATATTTGAAAGGATGAAATTGTAGCACACGTGATCCATTCTGTCCTGTACATAACGACCAAATAAGTGTAATACGTAAAATGCTCGATATTTATCGTATTTTTTACCACGTTATCTTTCAACGTATTCACCATATCATGAATGTACATTTAGTTACGCTTCTTATAGGTATCTTTTCTGTATAAAAGCTATAACTTGTATAATTCGATGAAATAATACAGAGTTGCATTTTATTGATAAATTTTAAACTAAGGACATTGTAATATTGATATATGAGAGGAACTTTAAATACAAATTAACACATGTTATCTTGAATAATTGTTACAAAAGTAAAACATCGACACATGTTTGATGGTAATTTAGCAGATAGGTATTTATATGAGAATATTTCATAATTTATAAAATTAAGAGGAGACACGAATAGCCGGACTATTTGTAAGTTTACCATGAAAGATTTTCAAGCGCAAAGTCGCTTTTCTTGTTGCCATAATTTCCGATTGTATGACTGATAATTTGTATTAATTCATGCATAACGCATTCAAACCAAAACATAACCAAATTAATTCATATAATAGTATCATATTTGTATGTATACCGATATATTTTGCAATCTTGAAATAAATTATATAATTAATTAAGAATCCGTATAAGCAGAGATATTAGAACAAAAGAACACTTTGGAAAGTGTTGAAAAAATACAAAGGAAAGAGATTTGTTAATTGTTGCAAAGACTAGGACAAGAAACGCTACTTCCAGAACCAGTGAGAAACTCAATATAAAAATCTTTAGCAATAAATTTGCTCATTTTGATCCAAATAAGAATTCCTAAACATTTGAACCGAACTTATGTTACGGTGAATTCTATAATAGAAGAAAACAAATGGAAGCGAAATGTATCCTGTCCTAGTATACAAGCATGGATTTAGAAATGGTACTGGAGAGGCATATATTAACTGTATTTCGTGAAATAATAAATATTATCTTATTTTATATCGATCGATGTTTTAATCAATCTTCTTCTTTGACAGGCTTATAATCCCAAAACAAAATTTCGATTTATATACACATACGTATATGTATGTAATAAAGTCTCTCTCCGAATGAAGGTAAATTGCATAAGAACATTATTAGAGAGAATATTATTTCTGCTTTTTAGATTACATTTATGTGAGCTACACATAAATAGATGCTAACAACATTGACTGTTAAAAACGACATAGTAAACACTATATTGTATTACTTTCATCATAAATATATTATTCACACACACAGGTAGGTATTTTTCATAATATTCAGCCAAGAGAAAGTATTTTTTATAAGTTCGTTCTGGCAGTAGAATGCATATCCTTGGTAATGAACGTTACTTCGTATAATTATGTATTGACTCGTGTAATATGTATCACACACGAGGATAATAACTATATCTTCACTTTCTTCACTATTCATCCCTTTTATTAGTCTCGTGTCATTGCCCCGTATAAATTCTACTTCAATGGTGATGACAAATGCGACCCATCGTGGCATTATAGCTTTATACTTATAGCATACAAGTTTCTTTAATAACATTAACTATCTAAATTATTGTCATCATCACGAGACATATAGAAATTAATTAATGTATCGACGTGACAGTCGAACACTAAAATATAACAAATAGAATTATACCTAAGTCACTCGCATCCAACATACCATTAGCCACATAAAAACATTTAGCTATAGCATGTATAACTTTAACAATGCCCCTTTATTCATCGATTCAATTTCTTCCTCTTAGGTGTGTAAATATAACATGGTTTCTTCGAGACTTTTTGCTTAATCTCAATTAAAAGAACTGCCACACCTTAAAGAAATAACTGTCCTACAAAACATAATACTTCTCTTAAATGTTTGGAAAATACAGACTACATATACACAGTTTCGAACGCAATTACGACACAAGCGTAATGAACACAAGAGATCATGAAAAATTGTACGTTCGTATATATCATAAAAATGAGAGATGGGATCTGTTGAAAACAGACGTAAAGTTTAGCAAAAAGGAGATGCTACAGGGCAAAAACATACTATTTTGATCTCTACAAAAAAATACTGATGAGGAAATATTGAAGTGTTATTCAACTGCGTGGAAAATTATCCACCACATGTCGAATTATTTTCATTGCTAGCGACAATTATGTTTCGTTCGAACGTTGAAATTTTATGGAACAAAAAAATTTACTACTCAATTTGTGCGAACGCTATTATACGTTCTTTTTTATAAATAAATTCGAACTGAGCGAAAGCACAGGATTCGTCATTTGACATGTAAAACAATGAATTGAAACTCGACAAAAATTTATTGTTTATAAATTATAAAGCTTTCTTGGTATTTAGTTTTCTTAAAAAGAAAGTTGATTAAGAATTGTGTATAAGCTATATCAATGTTCATGAATATTATTATCTCGTCTGCTGAGAAAAGTAATATTAGGCTGAACCATAACGAATTAAAAACTTATACAACGTCATTAATTATTTATATATTTTGCTTCAATTCCAAGTTCCGCAGTTCATCGCTATTTCGGCCCAATATCACTTAACTTTCTTTCAACATGCGTAGTAATTGCACAAATAAAATGGCTCTTACATCATTGTTCATTCGTACCAGAAAATTAACAAAATTTCGCCAAATATTTCCAAATATTTACTTATTAACAAATTACGGGAGCTATTTTTTTCTAAATAATATACAAACACTTTGTGATCAAATAGAAAACATTTATGATTCGTAATTTGCCAATACTAGCAACTTTGGTAATATCCTGGTTCCTGGTAACTACGCATAAAATATTATGGAACTATATAGTAGCGAATGTTTATCCCACGCGAGTATTTTAACTTAATTAAATACAGCACATGCTATATTACTTTCATTTGATGATTGTTCTATACTTTCATATGGAGAATCGTACATATATATGTATATATGTAACATCAAATGAATAATAAAGTATGTCAACATATATTCAAACACATTCGCTATAAATAATCGTGCACACACGCACTACGAGATTCTTAAATAAAATATAAAATACAGGACTATAATATGTTTCAGGCAAAAAGGACATATCTTGTTTCGGTTTGCAATTTATCGATTGAGCTTTAAAAACTACTCTGTAGAAACTTATAAAAAAAGCAAATATTAAAGGTCTTTACAAATGAGATTGTTCGATACTAATATCTTAAGTATCTTTCTCAATTTGTGTTTTGCTTTTTTTATAAAAAAATCATTATTAAAAATGTACATATTCAATATAACATACACACGATTATGTGATATTGAACATGATATTTATTAATAAAGCGTAAAATGTGCTCCCTATTTATAAAAGTAATAACGCGTCGTTGAGAAGAGCCTTCTTCATTCAATTAATATAAACATAACGAGCAATGAACATAGTTCTACCATATGGTGCGATATTGAGCAGTTTTGCACTTGATAGTACTCACACTAAGGCAATTTTGTATAATGAATAACACTGCATATTTCTTCCAGTCACTCTCACGCGCGTGCGTTTGTTCTGCATACCACAAAAGTCTTTTTTTTTCTTTTGAATAATTTACAATCACTACTTAAATTTGATATTTAAAATCTGTCTGTGCAAATAAAACGACCAGCTGCTCAGACGGGAGTATAATTTCCCTTCGGTTTGTAAAATATCTTCCCAGTCACGAGACGCCTCATAATTTCGGACAACAGCAGGCGTTTCTCTTTCTTGATTTTCTTAAGTATGCCTCGGTTCTCTTGTGCACGCCGAGACAAATATGGTAATACTTCCTTCACTGGACCGTAAGGGATATATTTGTATGCTGAGTATCCAGACTGACCTAAAATTTAAATTTTATTATTAAACATTTAAAATTTATAATATTGATAATATTTTATTCTGGAGAGTTAGAAAAGTTTTCTTAAATCTTTATTGTTAAAGACTGCAGATTTTTATATAAATTCATACTTTTATGGACACAATTGGAAATATATAACGTAAGCAAACATTTGTTTCAATTTTTAAATATTATAAATAGAGTCGATACCCATTATACAAAGATTATACTTTAGACATGTTACATATTTTTGCATATTATATGCATTCTGTACATTATTATGCCTTAAACATTTTCAACGAATGTATAAATATCGACGGTCCATTAAGTACAGAAGAAATAAAGATACGTACCGAGTGGGAATGTTATGTAGTCGCACATTCCGAACAATTGGCCGAAACAAATCACCTTATCCTCTGGTGAGATTCCTATCTCCTTCATTCTATTTTATAACATATTTAAAATACCTTAATAAATAATAGTAGCCTAAATAATTACATAATAAATAGTATGTCCAATTTATGTCTTACATATACATTTCTAATTATTGCTAATAAACAAAATATATTGCAAGTGAAACTCTTTAATCTAATTTTGGCCTTTAATCTCATCTTAGGGAACTACATATATAGTTATTAAATATTGATAAAGGCAATAGATAGTATTTATATAATATAGACAGAAAAGCAACATATATAATCGAAAATGGATGAAAATTGCTATCCTGCGATGATACCTGAGTTAAATGATTTCAATGTCGGAATATTAGAGTGATTGAAATATGTGTCTTTAAGCACAACTTAAAAGTTTATACAGATTTTATGAAACGACAACTATCTATTAGCGAACTATTAGCGATCTATTAGCGATCTATTAGCGATCTATTAGCGAAATACGAAACTTGAGCAATGTAGATATGTTCCTTGTTTCAGTTTAAGTTTAGCAGAGCATTTGGTCCCCGTTATGACGAAAGTTAAAGAACAATAGTACAGAAGTAGAGTCTAGAAAGCAGAGAAATGTTCTTCAATCATAACTATGACAATATGTACAATAGAAATATCAACCCTTTGATCAAATTGGACCAGGTGTTCAAATACTTATGAATGATAATATATGTAATTATTATTCAAGCTATTAAAAGACATTGGAAGTTGAATGAAAATAATTGTGTGTGTATATATTTAAATCAAACATATACTGTATATTTTAGAAATTCATAGAAAATATTCTGTAATACGTACTTTTCTATTGCGAAACGTACTGTATCCTCATTGTGAGATGCAACCATAATACCAATTTTCTTTGGATCCTCTCCTTTGTCTTTGTACTGTTTCATTCGCCTTAAGCACTCCATTAGAGTCCTATGATAAGACTCGGTTGTAGCTTCGAATGAAGGATTCGTTGGATCAGGGTAACCCATTGCTGCTGCTCTGGCCCTTTCCTACATTTATAATTTCAAGAAATTTATCCCAAGTTTTTAATCAGTACAATACAGTCACTTTAACCTACTCACAATCACTGATTTAAAATTACGTCTTTTCCTAAGTTACAATCGATTATGTTTCTGTCATATATATTCACACATAGATAAATACATTACCATTTGTAAGTTTTATTGGACCTGCAAAAATTACTGTTCAAGAAATTGAAAACACAAACTTTACTATTTACAGTACACGACAATTTAATTTCTACAAGCGTTTAAATACTTTCGTAAATCACTGTATAGCTTTCAACGTGTTTTTTTTTCAAAAAATAAATTATAATTTTATAAAATAAAATTTATAAATCATAACACAAATTTTAAATATTAATTAATTAGAGAAATAATACTTTAAAACAAATCGTCCTGGTTTGTACCGTTGTCCCAGTAAATCTTGCGGCAATTGAATTTAATTTTTCTATCTTATACAGTAATTGTACGCAGAAAAAATTGTTAGCTGCAAAATTGTCGGTGTAAATCACTCAATGAAGGATTACCTGTTCAATGTAAGCGCCACGAACGAGTTTAGCACCGAAGTAGAAATTCTGACGTTCAGCTTGTTCCAGATCCGTCTTCACTTCATTATAAGCTTCTTGCAAGTATGTCTGGTATGTGTTGAACACCACGGCCTAGGGAGTAGACCATTTGGGTTTAGACCACTGAAAATTTACTAAGTGATAATATTTCATCTACGGAAGCAAAACGTTTACCTTATGTGTATTGTACTTGCGCATCATCTCCAACGTTAACCGCGATATCGCAGGTTGGAAATACGTTTGTTCGGCGTCTATCATTATACGTACGTCTAATTTATCGGCCACCTGTAATGAAAGTTAGCAATTCTATCTTTGCTAACGAAAACTAAACTCTTCTAAATCTCCTCATTGTATTTTCTATAATAAATAATGGAAGTATCGGGAGCTTTCCATTTTATTGAACACAGGGTGTCTTATGCCAAAATTAGTATATAGCTTTGAACTACTTCCAAATAGATTTTACCAATTTTTTGGACCGTTATCTTGCAAATATCTTACAAGATATAAGATCATGATTAATTGACCACTTCAAATTTTATGTGAAACCATACTTACGAGAACATACATGCAATCATGACTTAAAAATCATTGAATTTTGCCTCAAAGTACATTTTTCTATTATTAATTATTCCAAAAATATAGCCAATTATACGGGACACCCTGCATTCTTTAGTTGTTTTCATTTGTAAGTATTCATACCGAGACAATGTTATTCAGACGTCTTATCATGTTTCTGAACATTTCTTCTTCCTTGGACGTGAGCTGCGACATAAGCCTCACCATCTTTCCCGTTTTAATGTCTGGAACTTGGAACGTTTCGCTCAGCTCGTAGTTCTCATCCAGAATGCCACTCCATGGGAACAAGTGGATAACACTGTAGGGAGAAATGAATTTCTTAATTTTATACTAATGGGAAAATATCAATGTATACATAAAACAAAAAATTGTAAAATGTGTGCAAAGTGTTATTACTAAATAAAGAAGGCAGGCAAAGATAGAACAGGCAATAGAAAGAAAATAAGGAGAAAAAATTATAACTTATTGGAAAAGTTAATAAAAAGTTAGAATTGGAAGTAAGAAGAAGAGGGAAAAATAGTAATCGATTAAAATGTTTTTGTAACCAATGATAGATTTTCATGAATTATTACCCTTCTTTGTCTGATTGAATTTTTTCCAGAAACTTTTGTACTGGCGCTTCGTCTTTGATGTGAGCCTCTTCGAACTTTTTCATGAAATCATCAGCCGTAGCATGATGAGTTAAAACAGCGCCTTCACCACCAACTACATCCGACATGTATTGTCGTGCACGCATAATTACTTCCGACAATTGGAGCTATAAATAACAAAACATATAACTATTTATATAACTGCAGATATGTGTTATGAATCTTTTTTACATATTTTATAGATTATTGAATTATTATTAGACTTATACTATGTATTGGTATAATAAATACTTTACTTACTTACTTACTAGTTTATGCTACACATATGTATAAGATAGACAAATTCGATTACTGTTCAAAGATTATACTTTATCTCAAATATTACTATATAGAAGCTACTATATCCTTTTTATTGTTTAAATATTAGTAGTATATTGGAATAAGAAAAATTAAAATAAAAGAGAAAAATATCGTAAAACTATCAGAAATACTTATAGAAATACAAATATTCGCTCAGTCGATAGCTTAATCAATTAATGTTTAAACGATCGTAAAAAATTATTTCTTAAATTGTTTAATACTTCATTTAAGAATATTCACTTACCAAAAGTTGTGGACGGCCAAGAGCAGTTAATTTAATAGCGGTGAAGCCAACACCCATCGAAGCAGCTGTACAAAAATAAATAAATAACAATTAGAACAAATGTAAGTATTAAAGTTGATAGTAAGAAGATGAGTCTTTCAGGAAAGACAGACAAAGGATAAAATATGGAAGGAGAGATAGGACTTGTTCTTCTTACCAATTTCTTTAGTCTCAATCACAGTGGAAACTTGGAATTCAAGGATTTTCAAACTCAGGGCTTTCATTTGACCCTGTAAAACGTTAAACGTTATTATTTTTAACTAAACTTTAACGTTTATACTAAAATGGCCAGAACAAACAGAATGATAATTTTTTAATATATGTGGAATATATAATGTTTGAAATATTTTTAACAAGTAAAATATTAAAAAGAATATCGTATTTTAATCTAAATCAGTGTTTTCCAATGTGAACATCACAAGGTTGAAATTTTAAGTATTTTGGAATAATTTGAAAGTTTATGTTGCATTCGTCATATTCATCACTGACGCAGTACAAAAACCATTATTGTTTCTTATGCTAGCAGAAGCAGGCATTTTTTTATGTAATGTTTCTACATGTTGTTAGTTTTCTGATTAACCAAAAATTGTGCTAATAACATTGTCCAAGGATCAGTCAGCGTTCCGATCGCTACTATACTTTTCTTATAACGTTTCTGGTACTAACTACGAATTCGCAAATGCACAGGTTTTTCTTCGGCGCGTCTATCTTTTGAGAAATTCCATTTTGATAAAAATTCATAAAAGCGTAACCATAAAAGATATTTAATTCCTGTTTACATCTGTAGACTTTCCTACATACGCTGATATTTGTTTCGTTGTTGTTCCATATTATTTTTCCTTCGCAAAAACATCAGAAAATATTAGTTTTCACTATTAATAATTAAAGGAAAGAAAATTCGATCCTGAATGCATTAAATAATTTTATATATTGGAAAAATACAGGACAGTTATTTTCTAAATGACCAATTTGCAATTTAAAGAAAAAAAAAACAAAAAACAGAAATGACGTAGATTTATGCAGTTTTTATTCTAGCATGCAAATAATCCAATTATCTCTATCCAAAGGGAGACTTCGTTATTCGAATAAATAGAAAATCTTTTGAGCGAAACGAAACACCGTTATGTCACGTTGTTTGGTTGCATGACTGAATAAAAGATTCTCTAGAGATCTTTATTTATAGGTGGAATTCGTTTTCAAGGTCTTATCTTCTTGCTGAATTTCTGAATTTCGTCGCTGAAAGTTCTCCAGGTTATAATATTAAATTTTAAAGAATTTCATTGATCTAAATTTTCAACGCGAAGCGAAAACTAATTTTTATGTTAGTTTAATCAGAATTTTCTAAACCACGTAATCCGCGGCAAAGCGAGGGATTAATTGAAAAATTTATCCAAAAATTTACAATTTATTTGAAGATATAAATTAAAAAGTTTACTTAACGACATGTTAGTAACGAGACCTCTACGACGTGGAATCTCTTCGTTACAAAGCAGTCTTATTAGAAGCATCAATTTTATTTTATAATTTACAGTCTCCGTGATAGAGATTGATAATAAAAATAAAATTAAAAATTCCTAAATCAGGTAATCTGGTTCCAAATTGTTACGGTTCCCAGTCGCCCAATAATGCTAGCTCTATGGCAAAAGTTATGCTTACATAGTAGCGTACGTACTACTACTGATACTACTAACATTATATGTACATAATAACGTTACACTATTACATAAACCAGTCTTTCTCGTGGTACAAAAAAACTATTAGAAAAGTAAGCAACAACGGTTCGCTCGAATTACGCGATAAAACCGACCGTCTTTCAATATTTAAGTACTTGCCATCGATCAGAGGCTTATTTTCAAATTTGGAAAGCTACGTCATACGTTCTTATTAGTCATATGATTTTTCTTTCCTGAATTACCAAACGTGGAACGTTCGATATTTTACGCCCAATTCTTTAAATCGAACAATGATTTACGAATTCCCGATAAGCTGGAGAATTTATAACGTGAGTTAATTCGAGCGATCGATCTTGGAAAATCGGAAACACGTGTGAGAAAAATTGAAAAAAAAAAAGAAATGTCGCTTTGGACGAATAATCGTTTACACAGCTATTTTTAGTTCTAGATTTCTTTCGCGAGTTTGGACGAGATACGTATCCGTATTGCGTCGATTATGCAATATTATGAACGAAGATATCTTGCATCGCAGTATCGTTTACGCGATGCCATAGATCAAATATTTTATTTCCATTCTCCGGTGTTTACATACCATCGAATATTACTCATCGATTGCTTTGGACAACATATTCTACGTCTTTTCTTGGTTCCTAAGTTCCTAGTTCCTACAGTTCCTAGTTCCTATAGCGTATACTATATTTTATCGTTCATGGCGCTTTTACATCAACGAATCAACCACGAAATCTTATCTTGTCCCGAAACGAAACGCGATGAAACCGATATTTTATTATTAAATGCGAGTATCTCGTCCACAGCATCGCATAAGCGACATTTCGCATATTGCGACGCGAGGTATTCTTTTTTGTAACGAGCGTTTCGTAACGTCAAAGTTTACTATCGCGAGTTATGAGCACGAGAAGACGTTATCCGACTATTTATTAAAATCATGAAAAATATACATCTTGATTCGCTCTATCGATTCGAAACGATAGCGCATCGCAATGGAACCGAAGAATGATAAGAAGGAAAAAAGCCACATCGAGCTGTCTGGAACAACAGAATTTTTCAAAGAGCGATATAACAGTGGAAGAGATACGGTAAACTCATAACTCGTTAACAAAGTAGCATAAATAAATAATCGATTCTACATATTATCGCACAAACGACACGCAAGTAGCGAGACGCGTAGCCCATTGAAAATTGCGAAGGAGTTACAAGATTTTTATTCTGATAACCCACTCACCGGCTACAGACTCGAGGCATTTGATAAATATATCCATGTTTCGTTCGCAACTAGCTTCGTTAAGGTAAAAGTACGTTCTCGCCGAGGATACTTTGTATCGACGATCCGCGAATGGTTTTGCCACATGGTACTTCTTCAAGGGACCCTCCGTTTTCTCGTCTCCAGCTTCCGACACGGAACTCCTGTAAATTGAGATCGTTTACGTTACGTTATATTCCACTTTCATTTGTAATTGAGAAGCTTTTCGAGCAAAGAGCAAGCGCTCCCGAATAGCGCGAACGAAAATTTTGCCCACACGTCAACGATTTTTAGGTAGTATCGTTTTATACGCTTGTAAATTATTCGAAATTCTTTCTTAATCCTTACAGTGCGTACGTAATAAATTTCATTTGTGGCAGCACAACGACGAAGCAGCTGAAAATCACAGCTGATCTTAAGGGGGTATTCTGGTCTAGAGGCATGAATTTCGGGCGATTTTCGAAGCTCTGTACAAGCGAAACAAAGAATAATTTTGCTATTCTTCTTTTTAGCATTTGTTTATTGATATTTCGAGATTACGTAAAAAATTCACTGAAAAAAAACTCAATACTTAAAAAGTTACGAGCTGGCAAAGTGAGTGCTGTCAAAAAAATGGGGTGTCGTGGCGCGCATGATATCAACCCTTCTGGTCATCCGAGACGAAAAATGCGAACGGATTCTGAATTAGTATGGATGCCGCTATCGTCTGAACCTTGGAAAAGTCAATACAACATTTTTTCGCGAAATGACGGCCGTTTGAAAAAAAATTTCTTATTTCGCACGTCTTTTTTGACAATTCCGAACGTTTAAAAAATAGTAATATTAAAGATTTTGGGCTGAGCGTGATCCGGACGATAGAGGAGTATATAAGAAATATTCAGGCCAAATTTAAAATAAATCGGTTCGTTAGAACTTGAGATATCGTGCACGCCAACTCGACAAAAGTAGTTTCGAGAAAAACGCGTTTAAAGTTTCGAGACAAATTTACTCGGACAACGTCTACCGTCTACTATTCATTTCTTCCGGTCAGATACCGCGTCACAAAAATGGCTGTAACACGTAAAATAATTGAAATTTTGAACAATCCTTTTAAGAGCATATTCTTGAATGTCTAAACTTTGGAAATATGAAGAAAAATTTTTCGATTTTTTCAAATTTCTAGACCAGAATACCCCTTAAGATCCTCCGCAGTTACAAACGTACGCTGCGTGTGACATCGAGTTACAAGTTCGTCTCTATGAAATTCTATGTTAATTTTTAAACTTGTTCTTAAACTCGATACAATTCTTCGACGATTAATTTTCTATTGATTTGCTCTCTTATCGAAAACTGTTCGGCTCGTTAGCAGCTCGTAAACAGCACATGAAATTTTTACGTACTTTGTCAGTATGAAAAGAATTTTGTAATTAAAGTTTCCGGCGCAATTTACTCTATCAATCGGTTTATCTTTTATCAGAAAACTTTCTCAATTTTTCTACTCTGTTCTTGCCAACAATTTTTCCGTTAAGTTTTCATTTACAATTTTTCTAATAAGTCTTCGTTTACAACTTCTCCATTGAGCCTTCATTTATCATCCTTTTCTCAAGGTATTTCTCGTTCGTATTTCTTCGAGAAAATGAGTTTCCTAGGAATTTCTTCGAGTTTTAGCTACGTGTTAAGGATGCCACGTATATGTAGGTAAAATTTCAGGAAACCTACAGTTCATAAAGGATACAATCATAAAGAATATATCCTAACAAACACGAAGATGGTACCCCGCTGGGGTTAGCCACCCACATGATAATCAAACAGCCAAAAAATTCTACCAAATGTCCAAATCGGACAAATTGTGAATGTAAACAACTAAATCTAAACAACTAAGTCGCTAAACAACTAAGTCGTCGATCCTCCTCGATCCTCCTCCTCGTATGTATTCATATTTAATACGTAATTTCTATATCATTTTCTTAGTAATTATTCAATAATATTATTATACGACGTGAAATTCTATTAGAAATTTTATATTAAACAAATAGAGAGGTTTACCGGTTTCTTGGATAAACAAGTACAAAGTGTATAATTCGATGAAATTGTGGATGAACGCCAAGCATGAATGTGCACAGATTTATAACACTGCGATGCGTATCTGCGTAAGGGGCGGAGCTAACGAGCTCGATTTTTCAAAAAAAAAAATTTTATGAAGCAAAAGATTTATCGTTATCATACGTACTGTAATTCACGTCGTTCTGCTTCCTCTTGAGAAATATCCTCTTCAACGGAATAATCAAGAATGGGTTTTACACCAAATTGCCGCAACCTATCCAGGACAGGAGTGATCTGCACCTCGTCTTCGCCGGCGACAAAGTGACCGTAAAATGTAGCCTTCATAAGCTTCGTGAAAAGTTTCTCGCCAAGTAGTTGCTTGGATAATTTCATTAACTGAAACGAAATTTAACACGTACATTAACAAAGATATTAATGAAATATCGATCAAGTTTTCCACTCCGATTAATTCGTGTAATTGAGAATCTATGTATAATTTTTAACTCCACCTCAACATCCACCGTAACACTGCCCTTATATATAATACTGTCCTTATTAGTCCGATAAGTTGTTGACAAAGCGTAATAGCGTGATACAAAGTTATGTGTTACAAAGAGACCGCGGTTATTTGTGCAAATAGAACGTAAGCAGAAACTTATTTCTAACGAAGAATTGCTGCCATTGCCGTATTTTTTAATATTTCTCCGTGAAAATTTTATACAATATTCTTCGAATGTCATACTTTAATGTACTATTGGTCCCCTTTACCCCCCTCCCCCTTAAGTAATCAGTAGCTGCCTTCTAGGATTACGTCTCACATTGACTAGGAAGCTGTAGAGAATATTTTCTGGAAATTAGTACGTTAGTCGAGACCCAACGTGCTTTGTGACTTTATTACTTGCGAATCTGGTCGAACCTGGTGGAAAAATTGAGGTATTTGCTCGACCTAGCTGACCAAAAGTCTCAAATTCATTGTAGGTAAATATAATCTTTTATTATACTTGATTTGACTTTTACTTGACAAAGACGAATACCTAGGAAGCAATAAACTGTAGCATTTTTTACCTTCCTGCTATTATATACGTAGCATTTGACCGGTTGAAATTGTTTTCTTTTTTAATTCAAGGAAAAGATTTCAACGTTGTGTCCTTTATTATCTGTTCTCGTTTTATAGTTGCTGGACGGCGGTAAAAGAATAAATCGTAAGTTGTGCAGTTTTACTGGATTTTTATAGAGACATCTGGTCTCTGCTAATATCTTTGCTCGTTATCGTACGGCGTGTAGTATTTACTTTCCAAACTCTTGATTTAATATTTTGTCGATAGAACGATCGATTCGTATAACAGAGAATTTTTATAGAAATAATAAAAAAACACAGAGGACTGAAATTTGATGTTACAAACGAATCGCTAGATGTACGAAAAAAATTGTAAAATGTAATAAATTTAATTAAACCGAAAAACAGAAATACTTTCCGTCAGGTTTTTATTTGCTAAAAAAAAAAAAGCCTGCTGATCCGGTTTGCCATGTGAAACAGCAGTGCACGCGTTTTGCTTCTGCATTGTACCGATAAATTTGTTATTTCGTTTTACGAATGCGCGGATAGAGTTGCGAAAGCAAATACAGCCAAAAAGATTTTAAACGTGAAATAGAGAATGTAACGATAAATTCAATAATTCGAATTGTTCTTCGAAAGGAACAAGATCATGGAACAGTAGCAAAGTCGTTCATTGTGAAATTTTATAGAATTCATACTTTTTTAAAACTTTCCTTTCATTTTGATATTAAAACGAATAAAAAATGTAACGACATTGAAAGCTAGAATCTTAATTTTACGATACAATTTTAGACAGATATTGAGATTTTTATTATAAAAAGCAAACTTTATAATACACCCTATAGCTCGCTATAAAACGTTGTTCAGTTGTTACGTAATGGCCATATGAAATCACATTATGAATATACATACAATCCACTATGATTACCCCACTGTGGTCGCTTTCGAAATAAAAATTTGCGTCCCGGCTCGTTCAATTACCGCAAAAATTATTATTACGGCCAGTAGGTTCGGGAATCGTGCGAGTAGCGGTCGTTTTAAGACGTTGATGGAACTCGATGTACGTCCTTTTTCAACGAGGAAAGAAATCTGGAGCCTTTCCCAAGCGGTATGTAAATTATGCGAATCTCTAGCTTGTATATTTTGATAAGCTCAAGGTTCAACGATGTAATTAGAAAGTTACGCAAGTTGCATCTTTCTTCTTACGTTTAATTTGTAAGGCTTAATTTCGGCTTGTATAAATGAAAACGAAGAATTAACGGGTCATAGGTCGGATCAAAATGGTATCCGGCTATTAGGTAGTCGGCAAGCGTGAAATAATTTTCGACCAGTGGATCGATACACGGAACGTTGCACTTTATTCTAATCTTCGATTGCTCGAAAATCAAAATGTACATATATCGTGATCAAAAAATTGTTTACACGTCTAAGTATAATAATAATTACTATAGCGTAAGATACTTAAATAATATTTATTTTGCACAAACAACGTTAAACTTTCCATTTTGTTTACTACCTTAATTAATTCTTCCTTAAGGACCAAAGGACATAGGAAAAACGCTAAACGAGACTGGAGTAATAATATAATATAATATAAGATAATATAATAGTATATATATATAATATAATAGTATAATAAACATAAATTGATCGATAAGTGGAAAACTAAAGCCCAGAGCCCCATGTATAGGAAAAAGGTTGTTCAGAGCGTTAATCTTAATACAACGTATTGCAAGGTCATTGAAATCGGCGAGATCGCAGCAATATTTGCATACCACCATCTATTTCTTCGACATCGAAAGAATTGCAAGAAGTATATATACGCTATAAATACAGAAGTTCTATATGCTATTTATACGAGACATCTGTCGAAGCTTACAATTAATAAACCGGAATATTTCCGTTACGGCTATGACGCCTATATCGCTTATACGCATTTGCATAAATGAATTGTTAACGCGCGATGACGTCTAATGATTTATTTATAATGATGACGTCTATGACTCGTGTCATTGGAAATTCTCGATTGTCAAAGATAAATGCATTTCATTCACTACGATAGAACAATCGCATAGGTGGTTCTTCGTTGCGAAACATCTACTTTAATCTATGCATATATGTATACGGTTATTTATAATACCACGTCTATAAAGTTTATAGCGATTGTGTTATAATCGTCACAGCGTATGTCTTTCTTCCACGCGAAAAATGAATCGAATCGAGAAGTCGGATTCTACTCGCTTTCACTGTAAATTAATTAGCGATTAAATATAATTATCAATCTTTCTATCGCATGTAACTACTAATCTCTAGAAATTGTTTAATCCTTAAATATTATTTATTTAAATCGTTACTCTGCTAAATAACTATTGAAATACCAAATGAAATAATACAAGTTAGCATAACAAAGTATGATTTACGCATACTTTAAACGTCACTCTATGAACGGAAAACGTCTATTGATAAAATGCGTGTTCGTCGCACATTGTTGTACGAGTTTCACAGGGGAAGTATAACTTTAGAAATTGTGAAAGACATTTGCGAGATATGCGGAGGAGATTTGATCAAAAGCAGTAGATAAGGATAATTCGATGGTAACAATTGACGTAAATCGTCGAAACTGGTAGAGCACTTGCATCGTAGCTTAATGTTTCTCGAACGTGTAGAAACGAAAAAGCCTGCGTCGTCTTGGAATACAAAACTCGACGATACAGTGGAATGTTGTGGAATAAATGCGTACGAACTTTCCGTTCGACCTATTATATACGCGGACACACCTGAAATGTATTCTAAAAATTCAGACACACGCCTCATTGCCAGCAATCCTAGAATTCCAATGTGAAAGAAGGATATAATTTACGTATCTTGTGTAAGTTCTGTGAAACATAGATAGCCAAAGATCGACTGACGTCTAAACGAGATTCTTTGGGTTAAAGCACCTGAGCAATAGTGGTTTAATTTACTATTTCCTCCTGTAGCGTAAGGAAACTTCCGCTTATCGTTATCGATTAATCAAATGTAGCTTTCGAACTACGCAAGATACGGATAAGGTTGGAGTAAATAATATTTATTTTGAACAAACAACGTTAAACTGTCCATTTCGTTTATTACTCTTTAATTCTTCCTTAAGGACCAAAGGACATAGGACAAAGGAAAAACGCTAAACGAGACTGGAGAAGGTTTAGCAGAACTGAAAGCAATGATAGAGAAGAGTCGGGCAAACGACAAGAAGGAGCAAAAGAGGCACAGCAGAGAGGCTAAAGACCAAAGTTGCAATAGTTTTTTAGTCATTAGTTGATAATTTATAGTTCCTAATTTTTAGTTTTTGAAGGTGGAATAAGCAAGGTAGTGCGATAGAATAGAGTGGAAAAGAGGGGAGGTAGACATATAAGAAGAGAAATAGACGTAAGATGTGTAAAACCGAAAGCAATAATAATAATAATAATAATAATAACAACAACAATAACAACAACAACAACAACAATAATAATAATAATAATAATAATAATAATAATAATAATAATTCCTTAATACGAATGATTAGCATTGTACACGAACTTATTAGCTACCTTCTGCCGTTAAATTTTGCGTTTATCAACTTTCTTTATTTACCAGATTAAGCTTTTTATGTAAAAAAAAAAGATGGAAAATGTTAAAAAAGTGAATCGTTGTAAACGAGCACAGTGGCTGTCGATCCAAGTACTTGACACAGAAATTCTAGGGCATCATCGAACAATGATGTACTGGGATCTCTGAATGACCTTCTATGGAATCAAAGGTTTTAAGGGTTTAGAATCTTGGAGATTTAAGCATGCAGTATCGATCTTTTTCGTGGATACTACACTTTTATGTCAGCATTCTTTACTCGGCTTATACCTAAACGTAAAATTTCGGTTCAGTCTACGCTAATACAACATTGCGTAAGAAAAACTGATGTTTCGCGTATTTCCCCTTAAAATTATTGAAAATTACCGACTACGCAAGAGGGAGTGGGCGTTTGGGATTTGAATTGGGATCTGGCAGCCGTCACAATATTGTTTCTAGATCGTGGAAGAATATTCGAGTGAGAACTAGCGAAAACTAGACTTTCTTTTGTCTCTCTACTAGCCCGTTTATTAAACGAAATGTTTAAAAAACGCTCTTCACAGACATCAGAAATTAAAGATTAAAATTGTAAATATTACAACAACTTGTAGTAAACAAAGTTTAAACGATTATTATTATCCTATCTGTTAGCACAGAGTTGTAAGTTTAATTTATTAAAACTGCACTTCAAATGATCTAATTGTATCGATCCGATAATAATTAATTATGTATTAATTCGATAAGCATTTATTGT